GGGGTGTGTGTCGTAGGAGGAGATAGCGGGGGAGGGAGAGGGCTACGTGAGACTTCTCCACTTGGTTGCTTGGTCTTGCAGGTATCTCTCTCCTGTGCGTGATGCCGGTGGAACTTGGTCGTCAGCACTCCTGAAGATGTCGTGAGGTGGTGGCCGTTCCTCGAACTTCGAGCATTGGCCGCGTACGGGTGGAAGACGGAGATCGTCGGTGGTGGCTGACGATGGAGCGCGAGCTCCTCGCTCGTCGGTGGCGATGGCAGCTTGGCTTCTCGACTTCGAAGTTCTTGAATCAGTCTGGGTTCTCACGCATGGAGCGCGAGCTCCTCGCTCGTCGGTGGCGATGGCAGCTTGGCTGCTTGACTCGGAAATTCGAACGCGTGGCGCGCAGCTCGGCTGGACGCGATGGCGCTTCTGGGCGGGAAACAGTGGGTAGGCGAGCTCGGGGTCGGGTTCCCCCGGGCGGATTCGCCCGTCGGGCTAGGGCCGGTTGCTAGCGCACATTAGCGCAGCAAGCCGATAGCGCTTACCGTCGGCGCTGGCACGATCCACCCCTTTTTTTTTTTGAATGAAATTGAAACTGAGTTTTTTCAACTTTTTTGGCCGAAAACTCAGTCTAAATTTGCTGCTCTTGAGGGTCTAGCGTTTTTAAAACGCTGGACCCCCTGGATGTACCAGGACTAAGCTTGATACCAGATACATCCAAGGGGGGTTGCCTGGATGTATCTGGTCTCAAGCTAGGTCCACATACATATAGGGTCCAGTGTTTTAAAAACGCCAGACCCTCAAGAGCAGCAAATTTAGACTGAGTTTTCGTCCAAAAAAGTTGAAAAAACTCAGTTTCAATTTCGTTCAAAAAATAAAAAATGTTCATTTTGACGAAATGGCAGCTATTGCTTCAATTTGCTTCCTTGGGAGTTCATAACCAGACCTTGAACTGAAAACATTTTTCTTTACTTTTCAACTTTTCACCCCTCCCCCCAACTTTTTTTGTTTGCAACTAGTTATTAGCTATATGGTTGAATTGCACCAGTGAGTGCAACAGGGCTGAATCTGACTTATCAACGATCTTCTTAATCCATTGCTTCGGCCCCGGGTACATCCAGGTTTCCATTTCCGCCATTCTTGAACCCTCGTCGGTAAGGCCCGCCGATACTTTCAACAGTGAATGGATAATTGTAGAGTTAAAAAACTTCAAAAATTTGAATCTTAAAAAGAGGCTCCACAGGGTCTCGACATCAAAAGCTTCCATCAACAGTTGGTGTCCCATTCTCTCAGCCGACAATGGTGAATTGGCAAACGCAAAGCCAAGTGTCAGGAAGGTGCCTCCTTTGAAGGCTCTAGTTTCGCCGTAGTGCATGGCATCGCAGATAGTCATCGTCGGTATGAAGCTGCGCCACAGTTGGTTCAGGGTTGTTGTTGACACAACATCCTTCGCATGATGTACAAAAACTCTCGCCCAATGCCAGTTACGCAAGGTGGACGCCTAGACTTCAGCTTCCACAATCCAGAAAGCCACTTGAAATCTTCTCTTGAGTACTGGAACGTAGCGAACTGCTTTCTTGTGCAGGTGTTCTACAAGCTGGTTGATAGTTAGTGGAAGTGGCTCATTGATGCGTGATGATACTAGAGGTAGAGACATTGAGACTGCAGGTTGAGGACTACTTTGGGATCTGACTTCATCTACCTCTGCGGATGTATCTTGACATTGTGAGGACAATATCTGAGACACTGTGAGACTCTGTGTTCGCGACATTTTGTACTTTCGCTATTTCTGACATTTCGAGATACTATCTTTGGAAAACATTGAGTTGACATCATCTTCCCTCTCCTCCTCCCTTCGCGTCTCCTCCCCTCCATGTTATTCTTCCTTTCGTAAGATCATAAGGAGTAAGTTCCACTTTCACCCTATCTCCTGGTAAGATTCTTATATAATTTTTTCTAATTTTACCAGATATATGAGTAAGTACTTATTCATCCTTGTATGAGAGTTACCCCTGGCTTTTCCTTCTAATGAAACAGTTTTCACCTTTGGCAGTAGCCGATGCAGATCCCAGGGGTCGATCCCTTGACCTCAGCTTACCTGTGTACAGTATCTG